TTACAATTGCCTCTGTTCTCTCAACTCTCTCTCTGTTACGTTCTATTTTCACTGTGCCGTGAATAGGGTTCTTCCAAAACCCTTAGTGAAACTCATACATGTATATATATAGGCCTTTAGAAAACCCTAATTAAACTATATATATATAGGCCTTTAGAAAACACTAATTAAACTAGAGCTAAGGCAGAACCCTAATTAAACTAGAGTCGGCCCATAAACTTAAGTCAAATACACATTAAATACTTGTATGACGGCTCCAAGTAACCCTAACTGAAAACTGTTAATTCAACTTCTACTTAAGCACTTATTAAAGACAATTAAATAATTAACCAAATAAGGCATTTAAAATACAATTTAAACTAAAACAAACAATACAATTAACTCTGATAACTAAACAAACCATAATTCAAATAAAGAAAATAATTAACCAAATAAGGAAATACAAATACATAAGTAACAATTTACAAATAATTAAATAAAACAGACAAAATACAAAAATTACAAAATAAATAGACAAAAATGCACATAGAATGAAATTTAAATCCCAATTTTATCCTTTTTAATTTTAGGGGTATTACATTCCACCACTGGCGTGGGCAGGATTTTAGAAGTTTATTTTTTTACCTCTTGTACCTAAGCCTTAATTTGTATAACTTTATTAAGACATGTACCTTTTATGCATTGTGACCTGTAAATGAAGTCATGAACTTTATTTGTATTTGATGTAAGTTTCAAATGTCCTACTAGTAGCCAATTATGCATGTAATAGCTATGTTTATATATATATGGAGGTGATAGGGATGTTGCTGAACTATTTTGAGGATGGTGTTGATGTTGTTGATTTTGGATTAAGGTTTATTATTTGTATTGTGTGTTAGAGCATGTATAGTTCAGTTCTGAAGGTCCAAGTGAGGCCATTGTATTTTATATGCATTTCAGCAGGTTGTAGTAGGACTCTTTTCTGCTGAAGTCATGCCGAATTTTTGAATCGTTATAAATTACAATGATTTGTCTCTTGATTGACGGATATAACAATATAAGTTAGAACCTAGAGTTATAAATGAAATAATCAAATAAATAATTAACTTTAGTTTGTGCATTTATTTGATTTATAAATGGCTTTTCCTTTTTAGGTGAAGAAAAAACCTTTACAGGAAGCACACTTGTTTCTCCTTCCTTCTTTCCAGGAGAACCTTTTTCTCTTAGATTTCTTTTGGGTCACGCCAACCCTTTGGGTCAAACCAACCCTTACAATAAATTTGTAGGATGATTAAAGTACAACGATATCTCTCAAAGATAGATAACTCAAATTTATGCTCACAAGAGTAAAGTATTGATAATTCTCAAGTTGAAGCTCAAGTCTATTGAATGATATGAGGGAGAGGAATGAAGAGTGTATTAAATGGTCATATAATAGCTCCTAAAAACTCGTAAATTTTTCTCACTTATTTCATATCCTATACATAAATGATCAGCCATATATAGAGTGGTTTAAGGTTGAAAAGTGTGGTTGAGAAAGCATTAAATGCAATTATAGCCATTAGAATTCAAATCTAACATGAACCAGTTGGCTTGTTTTGTTAGGTAGCCTTAAAAAGTAATATAAAAGCAGAAACAATTTTTAATTTAATTAAAATATTTTTTCAGAATACAATCGTCTCAATTAGCTTTAATGATCATGATTAATCCTCAATTACCAAAGAAGGTTAGATCAACATACCTCTTAGATAATTAATTGTCACCGATAATTGATAGGTTGCTAGATTAAAGTCCACAATCCTTGATTTCCAACGAATTACTATACCTTCGGATCTTCACTCCTATCTTTGATTTGAAAATCTACGAGCAGTGTGAAGTGTGGGCTTCATATCTTTATAAAATGTGGAGCAAGAAGAGAGATGTATGTGAATATTATATTTCCACATGTGTCTAGAACAAACTATTACCACCCTTTATATAGAGGTAGATTTCCAATTGAATACTCTCCTTATTCTACACAAATTCACATTTGATGTACTGCTTACATTGTAGGTTGGACTGGGAGTGGGATCTGATAGGCTTATCCTTATCCAAGACTTCAATAAAGTATTCTAATAGCAAGCTAACTCCTTAGCCTATTAAATACCTATATTAATTATTTCTAACTCTACTAAAAAGAAATAACTGCCCTCAAGGATACGGATAAAATATTACTAATTATAATCTAACCCCAATAGTTACTTAATACTATAAATCAAACCCTCCACATTAATTAGTTATTTTGATAAATATTACCATTACTCTAATATACTAATTAATCCATATTTGATTACCTATTTATTTTCGTTTGATCACATATATTTAATAAATAATAACTATCTATTAAATATAACTGATCAGATTCCTTGTGATCATATCAACATATCCAAAATACTTTGCCACTTGGATTCTATTTTGATAAAATACATTCTGCAACGAATATATTAATATTTTCCCAAAGTACTTAAGTTTTCTAACTTACACGTCTATAACGACCCGAATCCGGGGGCCCGAATCATTATCCGGGTTCTTAACCAAACCGAGGTTATCTAAGGACATTTGGGTCATTTCTAATGTCGAAGTATACAGAATATGCCATATTATGCTCTACAGTGCGTAATAATATTATCATTAAATGAGAAGGGGTACAAGAGTATAAGGACTGGGCAGCGTCGGTCGGCTGACAGCCTTGCATCGGCCGACCAAAATAGTAAGGTACGTCGGTTGACTGTGTTGGTCAGCCGGCCGTAAAGATGAACCTGAGAACCCAACTCTCTGTCTGCAATCGAAATGCATTGTCAGTTGGCTGGCATGTATCACAAGCCGGCCGACAAGCCTTGGGAGCTGCAGAAATGTAGGTTTTTGGTACCCAAGGCCTTGAACACAATCGAGATTTCACCGATAAGCCTAAAAATGATAATAACCTGTCCCAAAACATTTCCAAACGGCCCTATAAATGCATGACATTCTAATGTATGTAACCAACTGCGCAATAACACAAAAAGAACTTGAATTCATTCATTCATCATCCATACTTTTACATTAAACCAAATGACACCATTGTCATCATACATATTCAAAAACATATTTAAACATTCCCAAAAGAATAAGATTACATTTACAAGATCGCAACTATAAGGCAAATACATGTCATTTGCCAAGGCTCCACAAAAAAGGAAATTTGATACAAAGATGTCAAAAATAATCTTCTTAGCCTCATCTAAGTTTGTGGGGAACATCGTCCACTACCTCTTTATAACTGTTATTGCAATTATTATGTTATATGCAACTATGTGGTTGAATGTTATTTGAAATTCATATGCTATGTGACTAAGGTGTTATGTAAGAGTTTATATGTCTTTAAACATGCTATATGTGATGTCCTTGAGGGACTCTATGTTGGTAACAACCTCTTCAAGGCGGTCATGCAAAACATTCACTCTTTCCTCGGTCCTCTGAGAGATAGCCAATTGTTGTTGCGCCATCTCAAAGATGGATTGCAACATTGGAGAGTTAGCATCCACTTGTGGTGGAGCAACCTCCGCATCCATTGTTCATTTAATTAATTTCAAATAAGTCGTATCTTACTCAAACCAATAAATAAAGCTGAGGTTATACTTAAAGCTGCTAGTAGAGTAGAAAATCGAAATAACTAGTAATCAAAGGCATAAAAGAGCTAAATAAAATATGTTATTTTATACATATGTTTATAAAGCATTTACCTAAGTTCTCATTTTTGCAAGATAAGAGGATAAGCCTTCATTCTCATCCTCATCACCAACAAACTTTGAATCATACCAATTGCGATTTTGATACGGATTCACAATTAAACCGGCCGTACAAGCCACGTGCCACGTGCCACGTGCCTAGTACTTGGGAGATGTAAATAGAGATGAACTTATAATTAAAGCCACTAGTAGAAAATCGTAAGTAGGCATAAAAGAGCTTAAATAAAATATGTTCTTTTTTATAGATATGTTTATGAAGCATTTAGCTAAGTTTCCATTTTTGCGAGATAAGAGGATAAGCCTTCATTCTCATCCTCATCACCAACAAACTTTGAATCATACCAATTGCAACTTTGTTATACATGGCTACAAAATATATATATAAATATATTCTATTTGTCTTACATATTAAATTTTTTTTTTTCATTTATTATTATAATCTATATTTATCTAATTTTATAAGAATAACATTTTGACTTGTGTTATATATTTTTATTTTTACTTTCTCTTCCCACTGTTATATATAGTATGAATATTTATTTATTTAATTATTAACTATATTATTATTTATAGTAATTTATTACTAGTGTTAAATGATCTTCAAAAATTAGATAAAAAATATTAAATTTCACCAAAAAATTATCTTTATCGGATTATGTTGTAAAAGCATGTGTATTGGTGCATTTTGGACTCTATGTGCAAGATTGAAAAAATTCACAGCGCAAAATATTGTAATATTTTTTTTTGAGTAATATTTTTTTTTGATTAAAATGTGCTTAATTTAGAATTCGGGAACGCGGACACAGGTGGTGCATGGCTGTCGTCAGCTCATGCTGTAAGGTGTTGGGTTAAGTCTCGCAATGAACACAACCCTCGTGTTTAGTTGCCATCGTTAAAGTTCTTAAGATTTTTTTTTTTTTCATTAGCAAAAAACTCACACACACCATTTACAAACTTACTTAAAAACATGTGTATCGGTGCATTTTGGACAAATTGAAAAAAAATCACTGCAATATTTATTTGTAATTAAAATGTGCTTAATTTAGAATAGAGTTTTAAAATAAATAAATAAATATATATATATATATATATATATATATTTTAATTAGTTCTCACTTTATTTTTCTAGAGATTCGAACCCGCACCGTCCCATTTTTGGGAGGTCAGGCCTCGGTGAGTTCTTAAGAATTATAATGAGGCACTTTACGATAACATTACCATATGGTAGTTATATTGATGGCTATGTATTTGTTACCCGCAACTTGTCCTGTTATTACAGCCATCAAGACGAGAGATTTGTCTCCCCCATCTATTTCCGCCTGAAAAGGTCGAAATTTCTTACCCTAATTCACCTGGCAACACCCACCCCCACAAGGTCGGTACAAAAATCTCATCTTCTGTTTTTCCAAATCTCACGAAGTCCACCAAATCTCTGCAAAATGGGCACTTCAATTCGATCCTGATCAGTCCACTCATAGACCACGTCTTCAAACAAGATCGAAAACCCCAAAGAAAAGCGATCTGTGACTGATCAAACTTCAACGATGGTCGAACAACTCGAGACCCAAACCCTCACAGCTTCTTCAATGGCAAGCTCTCACAAAGGCAAGTTTTTCGCACTCTATTTGCTTCTTTTCTTTGCTTTTCCCCGTAGTTCTAGGGTTTTTGCACTCTCTGTTGTAACTGAACACGAACACAGTACTACTACTACTGATCACGAACCTAATTCTGATGAATCAAGTGTATTGATTCAACACCAAATTCAGCTGGAGAAGCTCGAAGAGCTGGTGAAAAACCTTAATGAATTGGTGTCTAGGTTAGAATCCCAATTTTCGGGTTTGAATTCGATAAAGATTGAAACTTCGGATGATAAGAAGCAGAGTGTTGAGGTACCCTTATCACGATTTGTTCATCGGGAAAATGTTGAAGTCGATAGAAGAAAGTGTGGTGAGAAAATTGGAGCAGAGGGTTTAGAGAGTAGGTTTCCTGCTGATGTGGAGAGAGGGGCACCGGTGTCGGTCACCAAATACAGTCCGTTCTGGTCGGAGAGGTTTCAGTTTGTGTCGGCTGTGAAATTGGATTCGATTGCCACCTGCATTAATGTATTGCCATTTAGGGATTACGAAGGATTGAGCAAGTATGTTGCAGTTGGGGATGATCGAGGGAGAGTTTATGTGTTCTTGAGAAATGGGGATGTTTTGGTTGAGTTTTACACATTGTCAGATTCGCCAATCACGACCATATTGTCTTACATGTCTGTTTATAAGAACGAAACTGTCTTGGTCACGGGGCACATGAATGGGTTGATTTTGGTGCACAAGATTTGGGAGGTGTCGAATGGGGAGGATTGGAGTTCGCTTTCGATGGAAAATGTCAGGAAATTTGCCTTGCCGGAAACCGGGGAAGAAGGGTCATCGATAACTATGTTGGAGGTGCATCATGTTGGGAGAACAAGATACATTTTGTCCATGGATGTTAGCAAAAATATCAGAGTTTTCAGGGAGAATGGGACACTCTATGGTTTAGCGGTACCAACGAGCAGACCACTTGTGTTCTTAAAGCAAAGGCTTTTGTTTCTCACGGAGACTGGTGCAGGGTCATTAGATTTAAGGACTATGAAAGTTAGGGAGTCTGAATGTGAAGGATTGAACCAGTCTCGTGCTCTGAATTACGTTTTTGATGCCACGGAGAGGTCAAAAGCATATGGACTTACATCAGATGGTGATTTGATTCATGTGTTGTTGTTGGGTGATATAATGAACTTCAAGTGCAGGGTTAGATCCAAGAGGAAGGTTGACCTAGTTGAGCCTCTTGCCTTCCAGGCAATTAAAGGGTATCTGCTTATTGCTGATCAAGATAAAGTCTCAGTGTATAATGTTTCATCTCAACATTATATTAGGGTCGGTGGGCCACGGCTTCTTTTCTCTGCTGGTATTGATGAGATCAGATCATCATTTCTCAATTATCAATCGGTCAATGTAGATGTCCAAAAGAGTAGAGTGATACCTTTACTGGTCAGTGACCGTGAAAAGCTTGTTATTCTCGGTCTTGGAGATGGATACGTGGGGATGTATCACTCCAACCTTCCTATTTTCAAAGGTGAACTCGGTAGTATACTGTGGACCAGTCCGGTTTTCTTCTTCATTCTTTTCCTCTTCGGAGCGTGGCAATTTTTTGCCAAGAAGAAGGAAGTGCTTACTTCATGGGGCCCCGATGATCCTTTTAGCTCCTCCACATCTATGACAAATGGAGCTCCATTAGGACCTGGTTCCAGTGATAGATCTTTCGTAGATTCTTCTTCAAGAAGTGCAGATATTGCGGATTTAAGAAGTGGTCTAAGAGGTCCATCAAGAAGGTATGCCTCTCCATCCAGGTATCCCGGTGGATCAGCCAGTTCCTTTAGGCCAAATTCTGCTGATACCAACAGTAGCAGACCTGCTTCTGTTGATCCCAATTTTAGAGCAGCCCCTGAGCTGAAATTTCGGGGACCAAATCTAGAATCTGCAGGTTTTCCGAAAAGAAGAGAGAGTATATACGGAAACAATCAAGCTGTGGACGGTAGCAATTGACTTGTAAGATCAATTGCATGTAACTGTTACTGCTTTTGAGTTGTCTTTTGAAATTTTATAAAGTGTTTGTTTGTAACTTGTCTCATTTGAGCTAGCAACAGATTTTACTTTGTAACAAGAAATAATTAGAAAATCTAAGCATTTCAGATCCGGATCTCTTGATGCCTTGTGATTTTGGAGCAAATGATGGCCTGTGGTAAATTTGTTCCCTGTTAAATTTTAATGTTCTCTGTATTCTAATTGATTAAAAGTGTTAACTGATTGGGTTTTCATGAATAGTTCAGACTTAAATTGGTCTTAGGTTTAAAGTCCAGCAGCCTATTTGGTAGAGTACCTAGCTCCTGAGTGGGTGTGCCTGCGTTCAAGTGAATTTTTTTTTAAAAAAAAACTCTGGTCTGAAGAGCTCCTTGGGTTGTTAGCTTATGAATAGTTTATTCAAGAATGGTGAATATGACTTAATTTATTGGCATGTTTTTTTTTTTCTTTATTAATCTTATTTTCCAGCTTGAGCGAGTATGAGTTTGGGCTTTGAGCTTCAAATTGATTAAACAATTTGAGTTCAAATTCAACAAGTAATGTTAGAATTGAGTTCGAATTCAACAAGTAATGTTAGAATTGAGTTCCAATTCAACAAGTAATTTTGCCACGATCGATAACTAATAGCAATCAAATTTTGAATTTATTAGGCCAAGACTTTATATTATCAAAGTAGAGATGCCTTGGCAACTAAAACGTATGATTCAAATGAGAGATACCCACATTTTAAATGATAATTTTATAAGGATATTAAAAAATTAAATAAAGATATTTGTTCATCGTGGACTTTAAAAGCAATCTAGCAGGTTTAACACTTTGAATGGGTTATTTTGATGTTCTAACAATAATATTAAGTCTCAAATTATAATTGAGAAGTTGAATCTTGTTTTTATTTGCACAAGATAAAAATATTTATTATCATAATTAAAATTTTGTTCCATTATTTATTTTCGCTAGATTCGTAATATAATTATGAAAATACTCTATAAAATTTATTCCCACCCCTGCCTGTTTAATAAAAAGTTTTGAATGACAAAAGGATAACTATACTAAACTGGGATGAAAATAAAATTTTGAATGGCGTTCCATTAACCGCCTGTTATCTTCACTAAGAAAGATTGCGATTGCTTTGTTATGATGGAGGTTTTCAGTGAAAGATTGCAACTGCTTTGTTGTGACGGAGGTTTCAAAATTGAAAACCTCTTCTCCAGACTCCAATGTCTCAAATAATATGATAAGAACTTTTTGCTTGTATTTTTAGGTTATGTGCTCTCAGAATCTCTAAGGTTTGGGTTTATTGCCCTCACACCCCATTCTGGAATTACGAAAAAAATGATTTTACTATTATACGCTTTGCTTAATTTAACTCTCAAGTTTATGTTATCGGTGACATAATAAAAAGTAAAATGACAAAATTGCCCTTAATGAAAAAATATATATATATATATATTTTTTATTGCTTGGTCACGAATCGAATCGAATTTCTAATTTGTGATCCATTCCATAAATTACAGATTCAAATTTTTTAAATCTGCCATCGATCCATTACCAGATGGATCGGATCGAATCGAATAATTCACAAACTTTTTGCCCACCCTAATCAATCCTAACATTCTCGACTATCCTATCGGCTATCACTGTGCTTGGTTAATGAATGCTCCATACACCCATGAAAGAACTTGCCAGATCAAACCAGTCCACACAGGGGTTAGAGGGAGAAAAAAATAAGTAATATTAAGGTCAGCATGCAATAGGGTGATGACACGTGGCTGAGTTCCTCAAACATGCAAGGTGTAAGCGTCTAACAAATTAAAGATAAAAATGTCTTTAAAATAATGAAGTGTAATTTAAGCATTTTATTTTTATTAATTTAAAAAAAAAGTGTTAGAGCAAATTAAATCAAACCTCTTGACTTCATGGACAATAAATCCAAACCTCAGGGATCTTATATTTTTAGTTTTTCTTTTTCTAACATAAATTTTCGTAAGAGACCGGATAGGTTAAGATTGACTTCTTTTTTTTTCTTTTTTAACTAGGAAAAAAAAAATGATTTTTACCTGTAATTTTGTTAAGATTTTTTTTTCCCACTAATTGATCTAAGTAGTACGTCAGCAAAATAAATTTTACATGTGTTGAGATGTAATTTGATTGTGTTGTAGTTTTCCTCTATTTTGATATCGTTCACCTTCCAGAGAAAAGATATTCTTTAATGGTCGTAAGCCTAACAGAGACACGTGTCTTCCACGTGTCACTGACAGAACCATTATTGGTGTTGGGGCTTTATCCCCATCGAAAAGTTTGTGGCCACACTGGATGGTGTGGAGTGACGATTAAAAAAAACCGGTGGCATTGGGCTCTTCCAAATAAAGTCAAAGACCGTTAACTCCTCCAACGTTCGACTGCTCAACTGATTGCCTTTTAGATGGTCTAAAACACTCCGGCGCACTCAACGAATCTTTTTACAAATAAAGCTATATATGTTTATCTATATCTATATATGTATATATATATATATATATTGTGTAAAGTGAAAAAAATAATAATAATAAAGCTATATATATATAATTGATACTCACACATACATGTCACCACTAAGACTTGAACTCTTAATCTCCCTTTGAAAAGTAGGAGTCTGGTCTCGCTTGGCCACTGACATGTTGGTCTAACTATTATCTTTTTACAAATAATCTCCTAAACTACGAATTTTCCTTTAAATTATTGATTTATTGTAATTAAGAACAAACCGAACACAAAATACTATTTTATCATTTCTCATTAAATTTATCATTTAGGTTCCGTTTGTTTCGACGCAAAATATTCTTTTTGAAATTTATTTTTTTTTTCAGGTAAAATATTTTTTTATTTTTACTTTGTCGGTGTTTGGCAAATGTATACATTAAGGTCAAGGTCGAGTCCATCAGACGGGACATGTAAAATAATTTGTCGAAAATTCATGGATAAATTATTTTTGTTAAATTATAATATTTTTTTTCTTCGTAAATATTTTACAACAACCAAACACCAGAAAATAAAAAATATATATTTTTTCTAAAAAATATTTTACGTCCAAACAAACGGAGCCTTAATATTAAATTATTTTTATTATATTTTCTTTAATTTTATTATGAGTGTCAATTTATCACAAAAATAGAAAAACAATGAACTTGTAACTGCTATTTTATAAAATGATTGACTTATTATTAAAAATTTACTATTTACAATACAAGTTATTGTACTCAATTTAAACCATTTTACCATAAACAATACCGTCTTTTCATATAATATATTCATAAAAAAATTAATAAATTACTTAAATAAAAAATACCTTCTTTTTCATGCAATATATTCATGCAAAATCAAGAAAATAATTAAATTGTTTACAAAAAATTTACTTAAGATTTTTATTTAAACAATTAATTTAAAATTTTGAAAATAAATTTATACAAATTTAATGGAGAATATGTTATTGAATTAGTATTAATTTTTTAGTAATTTATTTCAATAAGAAAAATAAATTAAGTGTAATTCAATAAAAAAAAACGCATTCTGGTCATTTAATGTAAAATAGTCTAGGCAGTGGGATATTTTGCAATAAAATGTGATAGTTCAAACTTCAAAGGGTAATTATGCACAAAATATACTTCAAGGGGGTTATTTGAAATTTTGGACATAGTTTAGGGGTTTTTTACACTTTACACTCATCTCTCCTCTAGTTAGCCAAAAGTTCAACCGGCTCCCCCCAATTTTCAAGAATATCATTTACCTCCCCTAAAATTAAAGTCCATCTAAGTCAAAGTTGGTCAACGTTGTTAATTCAAAACATCCATATTGCCCTCTAACTTTGTCAAAAAGACCTATTTAACATTGGATAATTAAAATAATAATAATAATTAATAAATAATAATAAAATAAATAAACACAATATTACCGGCCTTATCGCTACCTTTGCACCATGTAAGTGCCTTCACCATATTCAAACACAATATTATTCGTTTTTGACTCCCCCAAGCCAAAAACTTCCCAGGAGGTCACCCATCCTGGTACTACGTTCTGATAGGTTCATGGCCATCACAGCTTTAAAATGCGTTGTGTTATAGAAAGGGTGATGAACCTACATCACTTCACTCTTTCATACCCAGGTGATGTGGGAATTGTGAGCACACGTCCTTACCTCTCGTAGGCTTGCTCCCGCCCACCGAGCCTCACAATTCCACCCCTCTTGGGAGCCCGACATCCCCATCGGCACACTTCCAGGTGGGTTAAACTCTAATACCATTTGTTACGACCATCATCCTATCCAGACACAATATTGTTAGTTTTTTGTTCTCCCAGACTAGAGACTTCTCAGAAGGTCACCCATCCTGGTATTACTTCAAGTTAAGCATGCTTAACTCTAGAGTTCTGATAGGTTCATGACCATCACAACTTTAAAAAGCGTTGTGTCATAGAAGGATGATGAACCTACATAGAGCAATTCACTCTTCCACACCCAAGCGATGTGGGGATTATGAGCACATGTAGGTCGCACTAGAGTTTTACCTCTCACAAGCCTACTCTAGCTTACCAAGCCTTACACACCAAATTACACCGTTCACAATACTCTCACAATGAATAACAAGCCCTAAATCGATAGTTTCAACCCAAGCCCTAAATCTCAAGTACGCATTGCTTCTCATAATAAAATCCTTGACCATGGTGTCAAAATTGCAAACTCGAGTATGTGAAATTTCAGCCGCGGCGGTACCAACGATTTCCTCCTCCATCAAAATTTCAACCGCCTCAGCTGGCGGTACCCAATATTCACATTTTTTAAAAGTTTTTTTATAACGCATCCTGCTTCTGTTGTGTGAATTTCTCTTCGACGCAATGATAAACTCAAATCAAAGAGAAGTGGTGTAAAGACCCTACAATTGTTGTACTTCTGGTATGTTTGGCTAGTACAATAAAAAAAAAAATTTTGAAGTACCTTTAAGCACATAAAACTTGTGTGACAAGAGGTCATCTTTGGAGAGGAAATTAGAAAAAGAATGTTGTAGAGCATCATCAATACTCAATTGATCCTCCTAAAATTAAAATCCATTTAAAACCACCATTGTATTCAATATTTTTGTATTTGCATCTGAAACTTAGCTAAGAATTTCTTAAATCAAAAGCCAATATAGATT